ATATACACTTCACAAAAATATGGTAACAATAGTTGCAATATTAACCTTCAAATTGGCTATCCCAGTAGATGAATCTACAACATTGTCAAACAGCCTTGGCTATTTATGTAAAATCTATATTGAGGTATCAAAAGATACTGAAGAGATTGTTAATGCCCTAATGGATCTACTTATATGTACTGGTTTTTTTTTTAAATTGGATTTCTTTTGTTAGAGATAGCGCCAATGTCATGACTGAGACGAAATCTGGCGAAGTAATGTTACTTTATGTATATATCCTACGATCATATTCTGATATTGTTTAAAACATTGTTAATAGCGGTTCAATGCAGTAAAAAGTGTCATAGGCATTAATACCTCTAATCTTTATTGATACTTAATACAATTAATATCCAGTATCAAAATCAAAAGATGTTGGATAAAATAATGCCTAAATTGGGCATTCAGTTGTTTAAGATTGGAAGGGTACCTAATGTACGATTAGTGTCTATCAATCTCCATACTGTCAAGGTAGTTATAATGACTATGATGCATAGATGAACTTTTTACACATCAGAAAAATACCCGTGCATAATAGAATATTTCAAATCAGAGAATTATGAACTAGGAAATATAGATAGTCATTTAACAAAAGAATATTCTTATAAGTAGCACAATCTGTCTTAATTATGAAAAATTTGGCTAAAGATGCGTTGGCAAATTCCTTACGCTATATTCTAAGGGCAAACATAAATCTCAAAATTATCCACCAATATTAGAGAACTTGTGATAACAGTTAGTTTATTCATTTATTTTTGAGGCTAAATTTCTAAAATATTTTATAGGTGAATGGGAAAGAACCGATAATTAAAGTTACTTTTTTTTATATAACAATGGCGGGGAAGTCGATAAAATAATAATCATATTTGCTATATCAGAAACTTTAAATATACTTTCCCAATCTTCGACGTGGCATACATATTATGTTTTAATTTTGCATTTATTTAGGGGGCACTTAGTTAATTTTAATCATTAAATTTTAGGGTTATGGCTTAACGACTGAAGTTAATTTGAATTAATATTGCACAAATGTAATATTTTTTTAAATTTGGGAACTAAAAAAGTAAGTCAAAGGCTACAAGCAAGCAGTATACACATTTTTTTAAATCTTATATTGGACATTTAACCCTTCAGCAATCATGCGGATGTATGACAAGTCATATTTTGAATTACTGACTTAAATTTGGCCAAAAAGACCCGAAAATAAGTACCCCGGACAAAAATACCCCAATTTAATTTTTTTTTAAATCGCTAAAAAAGGGTAATTTAATTTTTTTTTTAAATATTGGGGTATTTTTGTCCGAAATATTTATGTCAGTGATTTGTTAAAATTATATAATATAAAAACTTATTATGACCTGAAATCTTTCATAGCTATCATAGAATTTATCTTATAATATTGTATTCAAAATTTCGTTCATGTTTAGTAGTTTATAAAATGTAAGCGCTTTGGGTGGGTTTGTTAAACCCCTGAAGAGTAAATAGGTAAGTTTTTTTAAAAAACCTCAGTCAATATATATTTTTTTAATTTCCATATTTTAATAATATGTATTAACTTCATGAAATAAAAAGTCGGTTTTATTATTGACTAATTAATGTATCCTAAAAACATTTTTTTTGGCATAAATAATCATTATCATCAATATTTTTTATCTGAGGTTTAATATATTAACATAGATATGTTGTATTAATGTTTAAGGTTTGTTTGTTATTTCTTATATAAAAACATAATAATTAATAGAAATAGAAATAGAAATTTATATGTTTGAAATTAGGATTTGTCCCATACCACCTGAGCATAGATAAAGTCACTTCTAAACTTAGAGCTTCGAGAGATATAGTAGAGTGTAGTGTATCTCCCTGTTGAATACCATTTGTTTTTATCAGAGACCTGCAGGCTAAAACCAACATTTAATAATGTAAAGTTAATGTTTATCATTAAAAAATGGAAATATTGAATTATATATATTGACTCAGGTTTAAAAAAAATCTTACATACACACATAAGGGGCTAACCCAAACCTTCCAAAAACTCGTACATTTTATAAACTACTAATAATGAATGAAATTTTGAATACAATATTATACCATAAATTCTTTGAAAACTACTAAAAATTTTAGATCGTAATAGGCTCTATTATATAAATTTATCAAATAACTGATATAATCCCAGATAAAAAATACCCTAATTTTTGAAAAAAAAGAATTTAAATTACCCTTTTTAAACGAATTAAAAAAATTTTTAAATTGGGGTATTTTTGCCTGGGGTACTTATCTTCAGATCTTGTAGTCATAAATAATCTTTATTTAAAAATATTATAAAACTTAAAAATATTAATATTTAGAAAAAAATTCCTTAATTTCTTACTCCGTTCATAAATTCAAAAAAGAATAACATAAATTATCTTAGCTCTACTACCAACTATCAAAATATTATAAGTATAAAAGATTTTTTTTAGAACATGAATTCAATTAAAAATCCCCTCACTTACAATTAATGCATTATTAAAGTATATTGTTTAGCATGAATATGAGTTTACTGAGAATGTTTATTCCTTTTAAATGGGATATCAGGAAGTTTTACTTGGAAAATAATGTCTATGATTGCTTGCAATACATGGATTTTGTCGATGATAAGCAATATCATTGTATTATAATAGGTCTATAATAAAAGTATTAATTTTTATAGCTATATAGTTTATCTTTTTTCATCTAAAAATTTAATAGATAATCCCTCAATAAATTTATCCTACCCCCCCCCCCCCTTAAAGGCGTTTTCCTCTATCAAATAAATTAGATGTCTGTCCCTACCCTCCCCCCTCCGCAGCTCATATAGACACTGAAAACCATATAGAAAATTTAAAAACTAATAAAAATTTAAAATGGAAATCAAATATAAAAAAAATTAAGGAGGAAATTTGGTTACTCACTGAATTACGGGGAAATTTTTGATATTATTTTTTTTATATAAAATAATAAATAAATGATCATCTGTATTTTGGTGGAAATTTTTATCATAATTCATTAATTTTACAATAAGACGGAGTATATTTAAAAATTAAAAAAACTTGTGAAACTTTTCATAATTCTTTAATTTCACAATAAAAACAAGACGTGTTCGATGAAGCTATTAAGTTATGACTATTAAATCAAATACTAATTTATTAATCAATTTTTTAGAATAAATTTTTTTTCGTGAAAAAGGTTGATATTTCAGAGAAGAAATAGTTCTTTTTAGATTTATAAAATAAAAGTAAGCACTTGTTTAATTTGGGGCATTGTTGGGTTTGAAATCTTTGAAATTGAATGACCCATAAAATTAAATATAATTTAATTGATACTCATATATGTATAATATTGTTTTCAGTTATTATAATTTTATTAAAATTGTATCGCATAAATTACAAATAATAAAATAGTAAGGACTAATAAATCAAATACTAAATAATTAATCAACTTATTAGAATAAAAAATTTTTTGTGGAAAAAGGTTAATATTTCAAAAAAGAAATGGTTATTTTTAGATTTAAAAGTAAGCACTTGTTTAATTTGGGCATCGTTGGGTTTAAAATCGTTGAAATTGAATGACCCATAAAATTAAATATAATTTAATTGATACTCTTATATATAATATTGTAGTTATTATAATTTTATAAAATTGTATCGTTCAAATTAATAAAATACTGAATAAGACAATTTATAGCTAAATTGTTAAAATTAAAATATGACTTCATTCTACCAGACCAAACAATAAAAAAAAAATTTTAATTTAAAAAATAATAAATAAAAAAAATAAAAAAAATAAAAAAAAATAATGTTAAAAACCCCGTGATTCAATGAGTTACCGGAAATTTATATGAATGACAGATAATACTTTTGAAAACCTCAATTTGATCTTAGTTTTAAGTGATAACCCTAAAAGATTTCCTGTAAAGATCTAATAAGACAAAAGAGAGTTAGACCTTCTAAAGTGGTCAATAGTGTTAGCTATAACCGGTATATAAAGATTATTATATCGTAGATCGGAATGCATTTTAGCAATCCCTTTTAGTTTTCATTACATTCGTTCTTATAATATATATATAAAAATAATTATAAGTTTCATTAAGCTTCTGTGGCCTAGTCGGTGAATACATATAGCACTAGCCGCCAATAATTCTGTTTTGCAATGAGTAAGACGTAAATTGATTTTTAGATGAATTATTAGTTTGTTATGCAAATATGGAACTATGCAGGAGAGTTACTAGCCTTTACAATCTCATATGGCTCCAAAATTTTTTAAAAATTATTTCCAAAATTACCTTTATTTTAACAAACATTATCAAAAATTACCTTTTTTGTGAAAAAGTAATATCAAAATTTTGAGGTGGTTCGAGCCCCCCCCCCTCTAGTAACCCTACCGAAACTCCGTATAATATTATGATGACTGATCTAACACTAATACTTTTGAATTAAGAACCACTAAAAGACTTATCATTTATTGTTTAAAAAAAATTACCCTGCTACCAACCCGTTCCTGAATTTTTACAATCATAAAAAAATTTGATTCCGTCTGTCCGTTTAATGTTTAAAATTAATTAATTGGTTAGTTAGGCTCTATTTATTTCATTTTGATATTAATTAGTTAAGCTTATAAGACAAAGAAATAAATTAATCAATATTAGCCTTTTAAACTCATTTCACCTAGAAATTTTTTCATTCAGCAGCCCAGGCTTTTGTTTTATACAATGATATATATATATATCATTGGTTTATGAAAAAATTGTTGCAGGCCCAATGTTTAGCGTGTATGGACGAGCGAGCTAATCCCCTCCCCCACTCCATTAAAAACCACTAACTTAATTACTTGGCCTTTGCTCTAATCAATGATATTTAAATTAATATTCATCGGTATGGTTCTAATATAATATGACTGGTAAATACGTTAAAATAATTTATAAGTTTTTATATCATACATTCATTAAGATTTTATTAAAAAAATCACAATGTCGCTGGTAGCAATATTTTGAATATCTTCATCAAATAATGGCGCATGAGCCTAATGTAATATTTCCCACGCGAATATTTGATTTTATCCCCTTAATTACTCTATAATATGAAGTTCAAGTTCATTAGAATTACAATTGTTTGCATTACATGATGGATAAGCTAAAAAAGAGTATACGCGAAAGCTTTAGAAGAAAAAAAACTCAAAACACAACAGAAACTTCCAAGCCGATCGAATGGCAAACTGATGAAGTGGCAGTGAGAGCAGGGACATGCAATTTTCAAGTCAAGGTGAATAATTCATATTTTTAAAAATTTTAATGTGCATTTTATTAATATTAACATAATTAATCTTAAATAATTAATTTTGTATATTAATTAATAATAGATCCTGAATTATAAATTCTATTTATTTTACACATAATATAAACAAACCATGTATAATTATATATAAAAAATAATTAGTGCACTTAAATTCCTGGTGTTAGATTCTAACAATTTTTAAAAGATTTTAGTAATAATTTATAACAAGTAATATAGATAAAGTAGGAACATATATTGATTGGACCAGAGGCATCACAGATTTTCTCTTTAGGTAGGCGGGGGGGGGGGGGGGGTGAGAATATTTTAAAAGTAATTTTTTAAAAATTAATAAAATGCACATTAAAATTTTATTTAAAAGGCATATTTTTTTTAATAAGTGATAGAATTATTCTTAAATATTAAGCAATAAATATGCTGATAATTTTTTTTGATGATTTTATAGAAATTGATTTTAAACTTATCTCTCAATACCCCTTTTACTGTGCTGAGCACCCACTCCATATTGACTGCTGATGGTAGGAGCTTATTATTAATAAACAGAATTTTAATGTTTGGAAATTGGTAGTTTTCTTTTCTAGAGATATATTTTTCCAGAAAAATTTTGATAGTTCAGTCTGAATCATGGTAATTAATATCATTATAAAAAAGTTTCATCTTTTTCTGGAATGGAGTGCCTAAGCAATAATTTTATACATAGATTTAATATATTTCTGCAAAAAATGGACCTTAAGATAATGATGAAGACAATTCGTATTAGAGAAAGTAGGCCTGAACCTGGCCTTGCCTGAACGGGCTTTGGGCTGGGCCTATTTTTTTAAAAAAATCTGGGCTGCATTGGGCCTAATATTTTTAAAAAAGTTTGGGCTGGGTCAGGCCTAATATTTTTTAAAAAAATTTGGGCTGGGTCAGGCCTAATATTTTTTAAAAAAACTTGGGTTGGGTTGGGCCTTGAATTTTTTTAAAAATATATCTAAATTTATCAATTTTATGTTGAAATTTTATGTAAAATAAATATTTGATTTTATTTATAGAAACTAGATGCCATATAACATATATCTTATTTTGAGTAATTATAAAAATTAATTTCTATATTTGAATAAATTCGGGCTGAGTTGGCAAATTTTTTTAAAAAAAATTTTGGGTTTGGGATGGGCTGGCAAAACTTTTTTTAAAAAATTTCAGGTTTGGGATGGGCTTGGCTTGAAAAATTAGGCCCAATGCAGATCACTAATTCATATAATATTACCTTCGCTAGCACTACACTAATATAATTAAAAAATTCAATGGACCAATAACCAATAAAGGTATCAGCTGAGAAAAGAATAAATCAAGATATACCTATAATATGTTTTTAAACTGCTCTTTATTTATTTTTTTAATGTATATATATTAGACTAACAGTAATAAAGCAAAAAAGGCACAATAATAAAGTAACCCATTTTTTTAACACATTACTTCTGTAATACTGATAGGCCACTTCCAGACAGAACATTTTTTCAAAGCAGTTTTTGGGTTAATATTACCAGCAATTTTTTTATAAATATTTTAAAAAAAAAATGTTTAACGAACCCCATTACAGACCACATATCTTTTGTTTGGAAACAAATAATAAAAATTACTGCTAACATTACCCAAAAACCGCTTTGAAAAGACATTCTGTATGGAAGTGGCCATACCTGATATATTTGGAAAAAAATACAGCACTTATATTTTTACATTTGTGTTTGGCTAAAATAATAATTAACTTTGATAGCAATATATTTTAAATACATAGGTTATGGTAGACATAGATGATGATACCTAAAACTTATTTATTTTTATTTCTTGTCCAATATTTGGGCATGATACTAACTTCTAGGGCTGTGCCAATATTTAATATGATCGGATCGACACTGATATTTAGCGTTTTCAAAAAATATCATATCGAGCCGATCTTTTTTTAAAAACCGATCCAATATTTTTTATATTGTTTTTGGTTATTTTATAATTATATATATAATCATATAATATTTTTTATTGAAATTTAATCAAGAGTAAATATTCATGCTTATTATTTTTCCCAAAGATATCAGATAGGTTTGGGCTTCTATTGGCGAAATTTCGAGGCATAGGCAATAATATTTTGGTTAAAATTTTGATTTGGTCCTTTTTAATCGAGCAAAGAGATGTTAAACAACACTACATTCACCCATAAACATTTCAAATATTTTAAATGAGAATATTAACTTTTGAAAAATAAATGAAATAAAATACGCTTATTCATTCATGTAAGTTAGTTCGTTTTTTAAAGTATAAAATATTGATATATTTATGACATTGATACAAAAATAGATGATAATAAAAATCAATATAAATATCAGATCGGATCGGTGAAAAATTTGTGGTAGTAGCTTCCATTTATATTTTTTGTTTAAACATTGCAATTGCAGCCACTAGTTATATTATTGGCCTGATGGGTCTCGCTCCCCCCTCTCATATATAATGCATAAATATATATATAACTTTAACAACTTTTGCTATGGTGTTAAAAAACTCAACTTCACCCCTTTAAAAATAATCGATATAACTATTATACATGATATTTTGTATAGGTTTATTTACCAACATTTATATAGAATTCCAGTCTTTCTTTAATAAAATTATTCAAAATATTTAGCTTTTATTCATTCATCTTTTTTTAAATTGAGTTTTAAAAAAAATAATAATTTATCACGGTTTCCTACCTATAAAAAAAAATCGATTCTACTTCACTCAGATTCGATTTGAAACCTTCCCGGTTTGATTCCTTTCATATACAAATTTTTTTTCTTAATTTAGAAATATATATATAGAAAGAGTAGCACATTAAAAAAAAATCGGATTTGAACGATGTTTTTTAAAAACGACATGATAATTGCTTTTGGTTACTTTATGACTATATATAAGTGTACGGATACTTTTTATAGGCTGCCGATATTATACTGATATAAGTCGTTTTCTGATCCGATATTATATTGATATAGGCCGATTACCGATCCGATATTAATTATCGTTATAAATATTTAATATTTAAAACTTTCAATGTTATGGTATAGCATCATCTATGAATATACACAACATAAGCCATTTTCATTTAAAAATTATATATCAATCAAATTACCCCCCTCCCTCAACCAATCACAAGGGGTCAAATTTTTATCACGTCCGGAAAATTCATAATTTTTAAAAATATTTTAACTGCCTTATTTATTTCCATATAATTTTAAAAATCGTCGTACGCCTTTGCAGTATTAGGTCATTAAAAAATAGTTTTTCACTAGAAACCGAACTGGCTGGAACTGACAGGAAAGAGATCAGGAAATTAAAGATATTACTTTTTAAAAAATTTTCATGAATCACGCGAAATTTTTAATTACGGCGTTGTCCGATAAGTCAAGGAGATTTTAACGGTCCACACTCATCTCTAATCCCTATTATATATACTTTTAAATATTTTTGATAAAAATTAAATTATTTTAAAAAATAGAGTCTCGAAAAATGTGATATTATTTTTTTGTTATATTATTTGCAACAAAAATAGGATTTAAAAATATTTAACTAGTCCTCGCAATTCAGTTATAAACATTGCCTATATTTTTAAATTCGGTGATTAACTTTTGTGGGATGGGTCATTCCATGACAAATCAACCACGATTCGGCCGACCCCCTTCGATTTTTTAAAAATTTGGTAAGCAAAGAAAGGTCAATGTAATTAAGAAATAGCCAAAATTTTAGCCTCCTAACATTTATATTTTTGAATTAAGGTTCAAAGTGGCAAAAATGACGTATTTTTACCATTATCTGCCTTCATTCAATTAAGCATATCTTAAAAACTACATAATTGTAAATAACAAATTTAATATCAAAATTACGTACAAAGATTCTACTTTTAGATAAAAAAAATTTTATTTTTTTTTCCAATTTCCGGTCATTTTATTTAATATAAGGACTAAAAACGATTTTTTGGAAATAATACCACCTTCAATTTTTAAAAAAAATTTAGTAGACATGATTAAACTCTTCCTTTATATTTATAAAAAAAAATTAATCTGGGACGCGGCCATCTTCATTCTCAAAATCGATAAAAGTGTATAAATATTTTCCCGAAAGGGGGCGTCTTTGTATAAAATTATATAAATCAGTTTTTAATGGTTTTTTTTGATATAATTTAAAAGATTATTCATATTGTAAGTGAAAATAACAATAAATGGGGCTTTCATTCAATTATAGAAATTGTCTATCGATAAAAGAAATTCAATTTACTACTTTATTTATATTTTATTATAAAAATTTTTGCCCATATAACATATATTTAATGAATATTAATAAAATATGTTTAATTAAGTTTCGAGTTCTTGAATATATGAATCAGAATCTGGTGCATTTTATATATGGCCCCCTAAATATTAAAAAATTGTTATAATTTAAATTTAAAAATCTAATATACAACTCACTTTTAAAAGATTCTAATTTTTAAGTAGCGCAATTTACTTTCTTGTGACGACAATGTATAACTACGGCCAGTAGCAGTTAACAGTGAAACTAAAGTTAAGATATGACATTTGGGCAAGTCATCTATACTTGGAAATGTAAAGGAATTAGAAAGTCCGGATGGGTGTAAAAACTTTATATATATTTCTTCCTGCTTTTGATTTTTAACGAAAACAAAACTAACCACCAATTAGAATCATAAGGATACGTTAGGTATCCTGATATTTCTTCAATAATTATACTGATCTAGTTTTTGAAAATTTTTCCCTGAGTAATAGATCTTCGTAATCATAATTTATTTTGCTCATCTATTCAAAATATATGACATTAATATTTTCTTTAGCTAACTCGTACAATTCATATGATGTGGTTATTTACTTTGAGTAAGGCCTTGTAAACTAGCTCTAGCGGCTAATCTTTTAACAGTGCCACCAATCCTATCACAAACACTTTTCCCG